ATCTCGGGGGTAAGCACGCTCTTGGGGAAGAAAAGCAAGCACCCAGCGCTCCGCGACGGGCACTGAAGCAAATGAAAGGAGGGGACTGGAGCAGCTTGGCGTCTGCTTCAGCCCGTGAGAGATGTTTTTCCGTCAAACAGCGACACGAGCTGAGCTGGTCTGACCTGGTTAAGGGCAGCGAAGGGCAGCTGTACAGCTACACCGGAGCTGCGCTCCCGTCCAGCCGCAGCCGGCGAGCGCTCCTGCTACAGAACTTAGCCTAGAAGGGGAGGTCACCTGTGCTAAAAAGAAAAGAAAAAAAACGGATTCCAGCAGGTGTGCAGCACGTGAACTGTATTTTGACGGCCACGCGGCCTTATCTTTGACTCGGGGCAGGGCCACAGTCCCTGGCTGCCGCACAACTAGGCACTTGTTTTAATGCGTCGAGGGTTTGCTCCTGGTTTCGGACTAGCTGCAGAGACGGCAGAGACCTGGAGAGCATTCATTTTTGCCTTTGCAAACATTTAAGAAGTTATGTGGAGCCCTCCACCGGGCTGCGACCTTCTTCTAGCCCCGTCCTGCATGGCCAGCTGCGGGGAAGAGCAGGAGAGCGCTATGGCCATTGCTCCGGCCACACGGAAATGAAGCCGAGCAGCGTCCGGCCGGCGTTTCGGTCCCCCTCCCGCTCTATTTCAGCGGTACGTGCGCGCCTCAGAGCTCTCTGGCGGGGAGAAGACCTCGCCTCCCTTCCTTCCCTCTACTCTGGGGCCTCGTTCGTGCAGCAGCACGAGCTCAGAGCGCGCTGAGCTAAAATTAAGTAGCCTCACATAGGGTCAGTTGGTAGCAGCGTAGCCTTTATTGGGAAGTACAGTACATAGGGTGCTGGTGGTACCTGCGGTGGTCGAAGCACGCAGCCTGCTCCCAGGGCAGGGAGGAATGCGGCAAGCCGAGGGTTTGCGAGCAGCGAGGTCACGCAGGCAGGAGAAGGACGCGAGTGTTCCCGGATTTCGTACGAGATCGGCAGGCAGCTCGGAGACCGGCATCGTTTTGCCTACCAACGGGCTGCGCCGCTACGACGGTAACTGAGGCGGCAAGGGCCGAGCGAGCTCGGCATTAA